TATATATATAGATATATAGATATAGAGAGGAGAGAGAGAGAGAGAGAGAGAGAGAGAGAGAGAGAGAGAGAGAGAGAGAGAGAGACACACACACACACACACACACACACACACACATACACACGCTGTTTAGGTGTCAGAGCTTAGAACCTGCTCCAATAGGGGAATGTTAGCAGGAGACAGGAGTTTTTTTTTTTCTCTGGCATAATTCCTTTAATAATTTTCTGTTTGCTCCATTATCACTATGATCAGTGTATTCTCTGTTTGCTGCATTATCACTATGATCAGTGTATTCTCTGTTTGCTGCATTATCACTATGATCAGTGTATTCTCTGTGCCATGTTCCCGGTCTGACCTGTCTGAGTTATTGTGATCTGTGCACTCTGACACCCCGCCGTGTGCCGACGTTAAATGCCCGCGTTGTGTGTGCTCTACTGCACACATCTTATGACCTTACCATGCTGTAAAAATCTTCTTCAGACTAATTACTTGATGTCCTTTTATATGCCCTAGAACCTTTTTTTTTAAATCATGGAATAATCTGCATCTAACTTAAGGCTAGTTGGCAAGGCGAGACCTTTGCATGCCTGTATGGTTCCTGTATGATTCCTGTATGGTTCTCTTATGCTCCTTTATGCTCTCAGGTGTACGCATGGGGCTTCAACAACTGTGGCCAGGTGGGATCTGGATCTACAGCCAACCAGCCCACACCCCGTAAGGTGTCCAGCTGCCTGCAGAACAGGGTGGTGATCAGCATCGCCTGCGGCCAGAGCTCCTCCATGGCGGTTCTGGACAACGGTGAGGTGAGAGGTCGTCTCCATCTGTCTGCCAGGCTGTGTGGAGGCTGGAACGCCATGGTTCCCGCTGTTTCCCAACTGTCAGTCAGAGCAAGAAGCGCCTGTTGGCCGTTTAGGAAGATTCAAGCCATCCATGCATCATTTCTTAGGGACAGACATCTGCTGCTGTTCCTGGACCAATTCTGAGCATTTTTTCTGTGCGTCTTGACTTCAGTCTATAAACAGTATTACATTAGCCTAGATCTCCAAAGGCAGGCAAAATCAATTGTGCTTGGGATCCAGATCTTTTAATCTTTTCTAGAAGGAACCCTGAACTCAACAGATGTCACAGAGTTGGTAACATTCATATATTAGGGGCTTAATATTAACAGCAGTTTCTTAACCGTGTGCTTCATGCATGCTTCATGCGTGCTTCATGCATGCTTCATGCGTGCCTCTACTCGGCTTACAGGTGTGTGGCTGGGGCTACAGTGGGAACGGCCAGCTGGGCCTGGGCAACAACGCCAACCAGCTGAGTCCGTGTCGATTGGCAGCACTTCAAAACTTCTGTGTGATACAGGTAAGTGTGGACTGGGCATGTGGCACTGTGCTTGGGGTCCAGGACACTCCTCGTAACACTGGTCCCTAGACATAATAATAGATGCTTTATTGATCCCTGTGGGGATATTGTCTTTATGCCTCCCACAAATTGCTCTTTGTAGAGTTAGCTGGCTTCAAAGGGCAACCACCTGTTGGGGCACCCAGGAAGCTAGGGGGTTAAGGGCCTTGGGGCACCCAGGTGTTAAGGGTCTTGCTCAAGGACCTGCTGACATGCTGAGGCTGGGTTTGAACTGGGAACCTTTTGATTACAGGCACACAGGCTTAGCCCACTGAGTCACACGCTGCCCCCAAACCATACCATACCATAAGTACTGCTCAGAATGATTTATGGTATCCTGTTGATTGCTGACGTAAGGTTGTGCGTGTAAGTACTGCTCTGATTTCATAATAAGTTACATTTCTTTGGAAGCAAAGAAACATAACCATTGGTCACCATTTTTAAGATTCATTCCCATGAATCTACGTAAGTTTCTATAAATGAGAGCAAATTTGGGATGTAGGGCAGGGACAAAAACGTTTTGTGGGTGCTTGGGGAGCAGTAGGATCTTAAGCCAGATTCTGTTCACACTGGACGTGTATATATCCTGCTTATAAGTGACTGGTCCCTGTAGCAGGGTGCAGAAAAGGTCACCAACAGACAGGCAAAAGTGTCCCCCTTTAGCATGCAACATTCATCAAAAGGGAATCATAAGTGTGTTGGACTCTGTCACAATGCCTCCCCCCCCCCAATCCAAGATAAAGGGTCTAATATAGGGGTGGGGAACCTCTTCCGTGGAGGCCGGTGTGGGTGCTGGTATTTGGGATGGCCTCTTAATCAGCCTGTGACAGTGGGTCCCCAGGACTGCAGTTGGAGGTCATGGGTCTAACTGCACAACGTCAGTGTCATGTGGACAGGGAGCCTGGTGACTGAGGGTAACGTGGTCGGGTCCTTTGATCCCCACTGCACTGCTCTACCCCCCTTAGTGTTTTCTGTGCTTCTCTGGTTTCAGACAATGTTAATGCCTTAAATCTGGCTCCTGGCCAATAACAACTGGTCCAGCTTTCTGAAAATGAATATACACGGGTCCGTGTTGCCTGGCAGAGAGTTATTACTAGTGTATTTCCGTGGAGTGTATTAAATTGGAAGCCTATACCAACATAATTGACTCTAAGACATTTACACAAAACTCCTAAAAATTAAATAATAAATGTCTCCTCTAGGGTGGGTTGTGCCCATTATAAACCCAGTTCAAATCTGGTGTCTCTGGCAGTCGCTTGGCCTGACAGCACTGCTCTGGTTTATAGGTCGCCTTTGGCAATGCTCACACAATGGCCCTGACAGACGGTGGCTTGCTCTATGCCTGGGGGTGCAACACGTACGGCCAGCTGGGCACAGGCAGCAAGACCAACGAGTTCAGCCCTGTGCAAGTCATGTTTGAGAAGGAGAGGTAGGAGAACGTTAATGCTCACCGAGCCTCTTACTGCAGAAATCACCAGAACCTGCCCTCCAACGTGGCTCAGTTCGGTGTTATTCTAATGGGTGATACTGTCATGGCACTAATTATAATTAGATGGTCAATTGTGTAAAATGTCAAATAAGTTGTGTAATAAATGTTTACTTATATTGGATGGATATGTTCTGTACATAGATGACGCATTCCATTATATTGGTTCTTTATTTTTAGACAGAATATACTCCTATATAAGTTTTTTTTCTTCATTTTTCTGCAGGCTTACTGTCAATGCATATTATACCACAGCTATTAGTACTGCTGACAGTGAATCATTTTTTTCAGAATTTTTGGATTTTTAATTTGAGGTTGAGACTTCAGCATAAAAACAATAACTGGAAAATGCATATTTATTTATTAAGGTTATTTTTAATCAGTGTTAATGTCTGAACATTGGTATCAGACTGTTTCTCGCTGTGTGCTGGATCCTTTGGGTTTACAGTAGTTTACGTTTTTGTGGTTTTTCATACAGATTTGTGGACTGGATGTGACAGTGTTAGTGACCCACAGTTGCCTGAATAAAGTTATGGATTAATAGATCCGTCGCTACCTCCACCATCAATAAGAGATTAAAGAGGTGAAATAGGGGTGTTTACTGATTAAACTCACTCTAGCGCATAGTTCAAGAATGCAGGTGCCGGCAAATGTGGTAGGAGAAGCTGCGATGGATGGCACTGCGGGGCAGGTGTGGGAACATGTGTGAAATGTGGAATGAAAGTCATATTCCTCGTTAATAAAAGCGGGGGGGGGGTCAGACTGCTGACTCTGTCCCTGTTGCTGCTCTACAGCGACACCTGCTGTCACCTGGATGCAAGTGCAATTGATAGCTCTTTCCTCACTGCGTGATGATGAGTAAAATGAAGTGGGTGGCACTCATCTAGGCAGGGGTGCGCTACCTTTAAGCCTCCTTAGGTGTCTGGAGAAAGGGGGACTCCAGATTTGGAATAAAGAGGGAAAATTGATAAAATGGTCATGAAATAAATAAAAAAAGCTATGAAAATATGCTATGCTAAAAAGCTGGTACTCTAGTCTATTAGGAACTGCAATGGTACAGCAGGAATACAGATAGTAGCTACAAACTAAGCATGATTGAGACTCCTGTGGCACCTGTGGATTGGTCAGGCTGGATGTCACTCTTCTCCCCCCCCCTGCTCCAAGCAGGGTCATGGAGATCGCAGCCTGTCATCCCACAAACACATCAGCCGCCAGGACGCAGAGCGGCCAGGTCTACATGTGGGGTCAGTGCCGAGGCCAGTCCGTGGTGCTGCCGCTCCTCACCCATTTCACCTGCACGGATGATGTCTTCGCCTGCTTTGCCACGCCCCCCGTCATGTGGCGCCTGCTGTCCGTGGGTGCGTGTGCCAGGCGTGTAGAAGACCTGTGCTCTGTGTTCATTGCATGTTTTCATGCTAATGGGTGTACAAGACCCGGGAAACTGCTACTACACGTCACACTTCACCCTGCCCTGATAAGCAGTGGGAGGACTGCATTAGGACAAGGCTTGAGTTTTTATAATAATTATTGCTTATTTTCAGTTGCGTGTAGCAGTTTCATTCCCATGTTTACAATCACCTGCAGTCTTCTATAAGTCAATATAAAAAACACATTTATCTGAGATGTTTAAGCCTCTGCCCCAGCTCTGCATGTGTGGAATTTGCATCTTCTCCCTGCGTCATTGTGGGGATTCCCCCTGTTTCCATGGCGATCTCCGTTTCCCCTCACAGTCCAAAAACATGCTGAAGTTGTCAATTGGTGTGTGAAGTTGTCAATTGGTGTGTGTGCCCTGTGATTGGTTGGTGCCCCATACTGAGTTGTTCCCTGTGCTGTGCCTGTAGCTTCTGTGATAGGCTCTGGACTCCCGCAACCGTGCATAGGACAAAGGAGTACAGCAAATGAGTGAACAGCTTTATCTGAGATCTTTCCTCTTTTGGTCCCAGATCAAGGTGACTTTCTAACAGTGGCCCAGTCCATGAAAAATGAGTTTGACAACCCAGAGACGTCAGACCTCAAGTTCTGTGTAGAAGGGAAGCACATTCATGTCCATAAGTCTTTCTTGAAAATCAGGTGAGATTTTTTTCTTTGTTCTCATAAATTCTCTTTGGCTGCAGAAAGGAAAAATTTGCAATATTGACAGTTGTCTTCTCTGTGTAGGTGTAAACACTTCCGCTCCATGTTTCAGTCCCACTGGTCTGAAGATATGAAGGAGGAGATCGAGCTCGACCAATACTCCTATCCTGTGTATCGTGCCTTCCTGGAGTTCCTCTATACTGACACCGTGGAACTGTCCCCTGAACATGCTATTGGTCAGGCCAACAAAACCTTGACTTCTCCTGTGGTTTGATGGCAGTGCATAATGGAATCCCACTTGCAGAGTTTCCATTTTTTCCATACAGCCTCCTATCCTGAAATAATACTTGGCTATATTTGTTCAGCAGCCTTATGCAGGAAAGTCTTAATCAAATGACTTAACGTCATTTTTAATGTTAGCTTTTCGGGAGATTCTGCAGTCCGCTTCCCCATGTTGCTTTACTGTTGTATAATCATCTCATGGCTTCTCGGTGGACGTGAAGTTCTCACATCTTGCAGGTCTGCTGGACCTGGCAACTTCCTACTGTGAGAACCGGCTGAAGAGACTGTGTCAGAACATCATCATGGGTGGAATCACGGTGGAGAATGCCTTCAATCTACTGTCTGCAGCCGTCAGATACGAAGCACAGGTGAGCCAGCAGCCCATAACACAAAGACAGTTTAGACATATTTCACAAATTAATCATATGCGAAGTACAGTTATTTGAGGAAACCTGCAATATATCCATATGAATGCATTGCTTTTGGTCTGAGTGCCTTTTGATTTGAATGGCGCTTCCCAATTCTGTTCCCAGGATCTTGAGGAGTTCTGCTTCAAGTACTGTGTGAACCACCTGACTCGGGTCACACAGACTGAGGCCTTCTGGCAGATTGAAGGCGACCTGCTCAAGGAGTTCATAAGCAAAGTCAGCCGATGTGGAGCCTTCAAAAACTAACAGGAAGCACGGGATCCTCCTTCTGTACCAACAGGGGGCGCTGATGGAGATGAGCGGGACATGGCCATCAGTGAGACTCTTCAGTTTCACCCGTCAGCGTTCCTGGGCGTGCTGTGTCAGTACCATAGCTTTACCGAAGTAGGAACCATACAATGTTTCTCCTTAGAAAGCGTCAGTTTGAGCATAATATTAATATAGCATCTGCAGAATTAAGTCACGACTGGTTGCGGGAAAAATGAATTTATATACAACTGTCACAGTATATAAGATTACTATAAAAAATATTATTCTTCTACTTTTCCAACCTCTCTGCTGGAGTAGTTTGCAGGGCCAGCTTGGGGGGTTCTGCCTTCCACAGTGTGGTGGCTTCGGTGACGTCACCGCTGAAGTGGTTTGGGAAGTATGGGCTCTTCCAAAGACCTGCTTAAATGAAACACTGTGGATGTAGGCTGCTCATGCGAGCAAAGTCCGTACCAGGACACCGCTGGTCTGATCTTTATCTTCCACTAAAATAAATGCCACTTGTTATGGCCAGGTTAGTTTGGATTGATCTTAGATATCACTATAAATACACATTTAAATGAGAGAATGAATAATGAATAAATATAGTTTACTTTGGGTGGATTTTTCTTCTCTGTGGAGTGGACTGCAGTTCTGAAATTGAATACATTTTGGAATAAATGTTTTTTTTAAGTTTCATGCAGTGTCTTCAGAATTTTTTTTTAATCTGATCTGATTCAGTTCAATCAAACACGCAACTCATTGAAGACAGATTTTGAATAGAAATTTTGGAGACAATCAGAAATGTAATAACACATTACAGACATACACAAGTTTGTTGTGATGGTTATTTTTTTCTAATGAAATTTCTGCTGGATTTAACCATAACCATATATTCTTAGTTCTGTACCCCAGACCCTGACACTAGTCAGATCAAGAATGTTTCAGATTAATTTCTTTTCCATTGCCAATAGACCAGTACAGGACAGTATAGTTGTTTTACACAGTGGCAGAATATCGTGACATGATTTTATGATTGTGAAAAATTTGGACAATGGATATGGTGTGAGACCTGGTAGACCCAAACGTGTAGTGACTGTGTTCTGGGAGCGTCTGGCCTCTGTCCAGAATACCTGCAACTTACACCTTCAGCAGAATTTCTCTCCCAAGGGAGTCAGGGGACATTGAGCCTGAATGGGCAATGTTCAGGGACTCCATTGCTGAGGCCGCACTGCAGAACTGTGGCCGTGAGGATGTTAGTGGCTGTTGTGGCGGAGATCCCCGAACCCCATGGTGGACACCATTGATAAAGGGAGCTATCAGAAGGTGGGCTTCTGAGCTTGGTTAGCTGCTGGGACTCCTGAAGCTGACAGGGCTTCTGAGCTTGGTTAGCTGGTGGGACTCCTGAAGCTGACAGGTACCGGAAGGCCAAGTGGAAAGTGGCTTTGGCAGTTGCTGAAGCAAAAACTTGGGTGTGGGAGGAGTTTGGTGAGGTTATCGAGAAGGACTTTCAGTCGGTCTTCAAAAGGTACTGGCAAACCATCAGGAGACTCGGGGTGGGGGGCTGGAAAACTCGGGTGGGGATTTGCCCATCTCTAGGGCTGAGGTCATTAAGTAGTCAAAAAAACTCTTTGGTGGTAAAACTGAGTTCTTGACGGCTCTTGAATTTGTTGGGCTGCCTCGGCTGACACGCCTCTTCAACATTGCAAGAACATTGGGGACAGTGCCTTTGGATTGGCAGATTGGGGTGGTGGTCCCAATATTTAACAATCTTTAAGAAAGGATGCTGTACTGTTCTGTCGTAGCGAAGAGGGAGTTGAGCTGGAAGGCGAAACTCTCAATTCATCAGTTGGTCTACGTTCCTACCCTCACCTTCGGTTATGAGCTCTTGGTAATGACCGAAAGAATGAGATCGCTGATACAAGTGGCCGAAATGAATTTCCTCCGCAGAGTGGCTGGGCTCTCCCTTAGAGATAGGGTGAGGAGCTCAGACATTGGGAAGGGGCTCAAATCAGAGCCACTGCTCCTCCACATTGAAAGGAGCCATTGAAAGCAGTTTGGGCATCTATCTAGGATGCCTCCTGGGCGGCTCCTTGGGGAGGTGTGTTAGGCATGTCCAACCAGGAGGAGACCCCGGGGCAGACCCAGGACACGCTGGAGAGATGATATCTCTCGACTGGCCTGGGAACACCTTGGAATTCCCCTGGAGGAGCAGGAGGAGGTGGCTGGTGAGAGGGAGGTCTGGGCATCCCTGCTAAGACTGTTGCCTCCGCAACCCGACCAAGGATAAGCAGTGGAAGATGGATAGATGGAGATTTGGTGTGCTGACTTTGGGCTGGAGCCTTTGCTCAGCCTTTGTCATGGACTTATAACATCATTGTCCAACATGGATGGTACATCCTCTTGCCCAGGCTCTTCTGCCATTCTCTCTCTCCTGAAAGATGCAGTGGTACCTTGGAACACGAACTTAATTCGTTCCAGAAGGTTGGTTGAGTTGCGATTTGTTCGAGGTCCAAGTCGAATTTTCCCATAAGAAATAATGTAAATCAATTTAATCTGTTCCGGACCCCCATATTATTGCCTATTTAAATGTATCTACCAAACTAATGACAGAGAGCAATAACAATCAATATAAAATTAATACACACATGAAAAAGCACACGTACAAAAGCAATAAATATGAAATAAATGACAATCCCACATTCCGAAGCGAGAGCTGACACACGTGCACCACCTTCAAGTCTCACTATAATTTCCTTTTATGTTCTACAGTTACTCTCACTACTTTCCTCTTCGGTTTACTGCTATCATTGCTTACTTTCTTAGGGGCCATGAGCTTTCACATGTCGAACTTGGTTGAGAGGCACTGAGAGCGATTGATAGGCATCAGCATCCTAGCAGGTCCCTCCGCCTTTCTGTCAGCCCATCAGAGACGCGTCTCGTTCTCTACAAGTTTTAGCGGATCTGTTTTGCGTTTTTTGTGTTCCAAGTTTTTGGTCGATTTGCGGCTAGGTTTTTCTCAACTGTTCCATTCGGGGGGAGAGCTGGTACAGTTGAACGTGTCTCAACCCATAGAAGTTTTAACAGGAACGGTCAAGTTCCAATATTCCGGTCGAGGTACAAGTTGAAAAAAATTCAACAGATCTGTTCGATGTACGAGGTGGTGAATTTAAAGACATTTCAGTTCCAAGGTTCTACTGTACTTGTCTTCCATCTTCTTGATCCATGCTTAGCATGTGATGTCATTTTAATCACCAATGGTGCACATAAAGTCACGTGGTGCAGTTGGTATTACAATTCATGAGAATATATAGGCAAAATCAGCTGTGTGTAATTCCATTGCGTTTTATAATTATCCTATAAAAATAACAGCCACACACTATTGGCAAGTGAGAGATGCAAGCTGGTTTCAACATACTTTTGTCTAAACTCTTTCTTTCTTCGCATCCAGCATACACACATATTTGGCAAACAGAAAGTTGGCTCGGTATTCGGATGCGTGTTTATACAGGGTTAGAAACTTTGGTCAGCTGGCTGGCGTGATATTTTCAATGTGAGACAAGTCTGCACACACATTTACATGTATGTAACAGTTCTATTACCTTGTAAATAGTCTGAAGGGTTTGCAGACCACCCCAGCGTTTCTGATGTAGCTAATTTTAGGTCTATAATGGAATAATATGGATTTGCAGTAAGATGTCTTGCGTGAGCATCAGAGTCTGAAAATGGGTCATGCCAGATGTGTGAGAGTTGGCAACCCTGGTTCATAGAGACAAAGTATGCAAACCAGCACTAAATCCCACTGGTACTTGTAGCCAGGCTACAGGAGGGGGTGTTGCGACTGGAACTAGCCCTACCCATGACACACCTTCCCATTTACTCATATGTCTTGGGCCTCTTGCTTGTATTCTAGTAACATACATAGTTTTGATTCAACCTAGCACTGCATTCATAGGCACGCCTTAAAACACGAGCTGCACCCGAGTCTGACCCACTGTTGTCCATTATCATAAATCGTGTGATATTGTTCATTAAAAAAATTGGAAAATATTTCTCTAGCTCATTATCCAAACCATGCCAGCGTGACTCCGCGTTATTGCTCGTATTTAATGACCCCACCCAGTCTCAGCCCGACTGCCGTCCCCAGGGTTGACGTGAGATTTTCATTTTGAGGTTAGTCTGCTTACGGATTTACATGTAACAGTTCTATTACCTTCTAAATAGCCTGTAGGGTTTGCAAACTGCTCCGACGCTTTTGACGTTGCTAATTCTAGGTTCATAATGGAATAATAATATTCCCACGTCTCACAGCCCACGTGTCTCCCTGCGGCGACGTAACGCCGAGGAAGCGCCGTTTCCCAGTCGTCCGCCGATTCGCTGACCGCGGTTCCGCCTTCGCTCGCCAACGTCACACGAACTAGGAAGCAGTCGAAGTGATCTGACGTTAAGGGTCTGCATTAGTCGATGCACTTGAAAAACAGTGGGGGCAAAAAAAAATAGAGATTTCAAAGGAGACGGTATTGTAATCAATGACTGCGTTGTTACTGAATGGCAACGTCGGAGTCTCGCTTCAATGACGCGGATCCGGGGAGCCGCCACGCCGGCGATTCTGCCGGCAAAGGGCGCAGTGACGTGAGGGAGGCGAGCACGCAGACAGACGCCAAAGTGCAAGGTGAGAAAACAGGCAGGCAAAGGCAAACAGCACTATTTCAGAAAATAAAGGTTAATATCAATGGATTTGAATTAGGTATCACATGGGTCACTGTTCCATAAATCAGACTATAACACTTATTTGTGTTCTATACATGTTTTGTGTTATATACATGAATTATGTTATTATTTATCTTTGAACGATTATGGCCGTTAAGAGAGTGCAGAGGTCTGGAGCTTATCTTAGGCCGGGGGACACCCTGGACAGGATTCCGGTTCATTTCAGGGCATGTATGTACACTACCGGCAGGTTACAGATGATGAACTTTGCCTGTGGGTGGAGACCGTGTGGGAACATGCAGACTCCACAGAGAGCAGCGTAGTGATTTTAACCCCCATGCCAGGAGGTGTGACCCCCACTTATTTACCTATGACACTCTTTAAAATCTCATCATAGCAAATAGTGTACACTTTAGCTTTCAGACATCCGTAAATGCTAAATGTTACTGGCAAAGACCCATCTGTTTAACACCGTGAAGGCAGTCGTCTGTCAAAAGACAATTATTGCCAATGTGTAATAAATCTGTACTCAGTCGCTGCTTACAATAATCTTTTATCTGGACAAGTCATTTTGTTAGTTATTGGTTAGTTACTGGGGAGAACGATCGCAATCATAACGGGACACAGCCTTTTATTTATATTTTCCCCGGGCTCTCAAGTTTCATCAAAAGTGTGGAGTGAGACTATATCTGTTAGGGGCGCAGTGTGTCTCACGGTCACTGCGTGACACTTGACAGCCCCGCCTACCGCAGTCATCGGATCTTGCTGCTCTCCGTATGTGCGCGCATCCATGCAATAACGCGCTTGCAACGGGAGACTGAGTCCAGATTTAATTTATATGACCCACGACATGTTTATAATTCATAAATAAATCTGGCCAGCCCTACATACAGGAGAGATCTTCTCTCAGTAACCTTAAGAAACTAAAGGTCCAGTGCACATTGACATCTCAGTCTGCATACTTTGGAAAATACTGCGATATTTTAAAATTAAAGGTAAAGGTAAATTAAAAGCTGTGCTTTCAATATAGTAAAAAAATACAGGAAACAACATTAGACTAACTTTGAAGTAACTACATCACAACCACAAATGCTGTAGAGGAATGTCAGTTAACAGGAAGCACTAGTTGTGAGAGACCTGACTGGTGGCCTTTGATCCCAGAGGTTTTTCCTCCCTACTTAAGAGTTTCTTTCTTTCTCTTTCTTTCTTCCCCTCCCTCCCTCTTCCTTGTTCTTGTATTATTCTGTGTATGTGTAGTAATGTACTACAACGCGCTTATGTAAAGTGCCTTGAAGCAGCTCTGTTGTGAAAGGTTTCATATAAAAATAAATGGAATTGAACTGTACTGACAATAAGCCCATTGATATGTCTTCAATGCAACACAACGCATTAGCAGTGTTTCCAAGCTTATAGCCAGTGCCTGAATTACACTGATCACAGTAATCGTCTCAGAAATCATGAGATCACATACCGAACAGAGACAAACTACAGTGGCATAGAGGTATAACAGGACAAACTACAGTGGCATGGAGGTATAACAGGACAAACTACAGTGGCATAGAGGTATAACAGGACAAACTACACTGGCATAGAGGTATGACTGGTCCTCACCAACAGTGATAGAGGGTCAGTTAGCAGGATAGTAGTTAGCCAGAAGAAAGCCCTCAACTAACAGTGTGTTTGTATGGGTGGTCAATGTGTGGGAGGGTTTAGAACTAATGACTGTTCTGCCTGTTTGTATAACAGCAGAGGTGTATGAGGCTATTTTACAGGCCAGGTGCTCCCTTATGGTGCAAAGCTGTTCCCTGACGCCAATTCCCATACCGTAATGATGACGCCCCCATACACACCACTAAACACATTCAACATTGGCTTCAGGAACACCAGAATGAAATCACACACCTTCTGCGGCCTCCCCAATCACCGGATATAAACATCATTGAACCTTTGTGGGAAGTTCTGGAGCGCAGAGTAGATCTCCTTCACCTCTCAAGGAATCGGAGGCTTCTTGAACAGTGGAATCACACAGTTTAAGACTGGCATGACAGCATTGCAGTAGAATGTTCATCTTCAGAGATTTCTTGAATGTCATATATTGTTACAAAGTGTTTTAGTGATAATTTTGAACAACTTAGTCTCTGTACTGTTTTTCAGGTCACGGACCCAGACTTTCCAAAGTTAATTTGTTCACGTTACTGAGTCTCTGGATGGAACTTTTCCCCAGAAAGGAGAAAGAAACTTTCCCAACACAAACTGAAAGATGGCAGGTAAAACAGGCAGATGTTGCAGGGAAGCAGAACTATCTAATGTCTTTAGCTGCATTTCCTCGTTCAGATAAAGCTTTAGTCCAAACGGAATGATAGGATACAGAACACAGCTGCATTAGAAGAAAGTCACAGAGACCTTCAACACACTAAGTGAAGGTTACATACAATCAGAATGGTTTTTCTCCTGTTTTCCTACACTGAAGTCCAGACACAGACATCTGCTGGGACATTTTGATGACCCTGAGCAGTCACTCTCACCTTTTTCATTCTTCAGGTCCGAAGCACAGGGCTGGTGGTGGTTCAGGGACGCAGTGTCACAGGTCTGCACTGCTCCAGCAGGGACCTGCACGCAGGTCAGATTGCTGTGCTTAAACATGGCCCAAGACTCAGGGGCTGTGACCTCTACTTTTCTAGAAAGCCCTGCTCCACGTGCCTGAAGATGATCATCAATGGTATTGGGCCTCTCTTGTTACTGATTTAATGTCTCTTTTACTTGGACATGCTGTAATTAAAGATGCAATGCAGTGAAACAGCCTAGACGGATGTCAGTCCATCACAGGGCTTATACACACACTGACATATACTCTTTGTACATCTGATTCTATGGGCAATTTAGAGATGCCAGTTTAACTAACTTCACGTCTTTGAACTGAAGGAGCGAACTCATACAGAACACATGTGATTATGGTGTGCTTACATTCAGCGGCACTCTTTACCAGCACATAAACCAGTTGTTCTCAATTCTGTTCCTGGCAGCCTCTCTGCCAGAATATTTTCATTCCAACCCACACTGCTTTCAACCTGGCACATTCATTATTAGCATAATAAGGACCATATAAGCCTAATTAAGGTACGGTTGGAATGAAAACATTCTAGCAAGGTCAGGAACAGGACTGAAAACCACTGACATAAACCATGCATTTGTGTGTGAGCCTCCCTGCTGGCCACAAGCAGTCACTACATTAAATATTAAATAAACACCTTCCTCATTTAGTACTTGCTGAAGCAGCATGTTCTGCAAGTTAAATAGCTAAGTATGATCTTCTGACTGTTCTCGCTAGCTATTTAGTTTCTGAAGCATTCTGAGGTGCGTCTGAAAGGAATGATAGAAATAAGGGCCAGGGATTTATACAAAGAATTAACTAGAATTAATCAGGAAATACATCACAGTCGAAATGCCATTAGCTGTTTTGCTTTCCATTTCAGCTGGAGTCCATCAGATATCTTACTGGCCAGGCGACCCAGAGATGAGCCTCCTGACAGGTTCTGGTGACAGCAGCCATGACTGCAGTTCCCAGGAGGCTGTGCTGGACGCCAGGGCAGCGGAGAGGCTGAAGTCCAACAGCCGGCCGCACATCTGCGTCCTCCTCCAGGCGCTACCCAGTGGCATGCAGCAGTTTGTGGAGGAAACCTCCAAAGACTGTGACTTCCTGGGCAGGATTGCTCAGGATGATCGATGCCTGGATGTGGGGGGTCTCTTCAGGGAGGAGCAGAAGCGCAATCTGGGTGATTTCAACACAGCGTTCTTTGTCCAAGACCAGTCAGAGCATCGTGGCATCCTTACCAAAATGGGGCTGGAGAACTTCTGCATAGAGCCCTATTTCAGCAACCTGCGGCAGAACATGAGGGACCTGATTACAGTGCTGGCCTCTGTGGCGTCCAGCCTCCTGGATCACGGCCAACGTTACGGCTTCTATGGCAACGGCCCCGCAGATCCCGGCAGGCCGCTGTCGCAGGTCATCGCTAAACACTGCATCATACAAGCTCAGCTGCTGGCATACAGGACTGGTGAGGCCAACCCCACTGCTCCTGCCTCCTGGTGTTTTTAGGCACTTATATGTCAAAAATGATGGTAAAGCGAATGAAGGCATTTATCTCAGAATCATGACCCAACAGAGGAGGATCCAGATAAATTTCCATTTGCTGGGTGAAGAAATTTTTATTTTATCATGACTCATTACATCACCTTAATTTCTCAGTTTCTTTATTATCCGTGTTGAAGTAAAGAAATTGCATTTTATACCCTTTGCATATGTTCTCTTTCTGATATTGGTATCAATAGATATATTTTTGTTTTTATTTCCATTCATATTACTTTTTAGTACTACAGAGCAGAAGGGAATAGGCTATATGATTGCTAAATGTTGTGTAGGAATCATATGAAACAAATTGCTATGCTTTGAATTACCAGAGGTCTAGATACATGGATTTTTATGCAGTTCCGTTTTTAAATGAATTTCACATATAACACTTAATATTTAATATTCAGTGTGTCAATGATGTAAGTATTGCAAAATGTCTTTGTCCTTACTTTATAGAGGATCCCAAAGTGGGGGTTGGTGCCGTTATATGGGCGGAAGGGAAATCTGTGAGTAAACAATGTGAATGAATTTTATCGTGCAGGTGTGTGATATGTATCCTACGATACTATCTGTATCGTGGTGTATAATGATCATTAGGACTTATTTTTAACGAAAAAACCCAGACTGCGAGGATTCTTCAGTGTGACATCGATGCCCGATTTTAGGGGAACTGCGACGGGACGGGGCACATGTACCTCGTGGGCTCTGGGTACAACGCCTACCCAGTGGGCTCAGAGTACGCCGAACTCCCCCAGATGGACGACAAGCAGCAGGACCGGCACAGCAGGAAGTACAGATACATCATCCACGCTGAGCAGAACGCCCTGACTTTCAGGTGCAGAACTTCAGCTGATGGCTCAGATGCAGGAGATGACCCAAGCATGCATGTGTGAGGATGAAGTCTGAACAGTGTCATTTTTCTTGTATGGTGCAGGTGTGCGGAGCTCAGGGAGGACGAAAACACGACTATCTTTGTCACGAAATGCCCATGTGACGAGTGTGTGCCTTTGATTAAGGGGGCCGGCGTCAAGCAGATATACACCTCAGATATGGACAGTGGCAAAGACAAGCATGACATCTCATACCTCCAGTTTGACAATCTCCAGGGAGTGCAGAAGTTTGTTGTAAGTAGGGTTGCAAAAAAACGATTATTTTGGTATTTCGGCCAAAAGACAGGGGTCTTTGTCAACTATTTTTTTTTATTACTGATTATCATGGTAAGTTGTTGCAGCCCTAGTTGTAAGTGTTGACCACTATTAGATTATATTGCTGGCATGTGTTCGTTTCTTGTGCAGTATTGGCTAGAATTGATTAAACTAGCTATTCACTGATAAGTTGTGTATGTAATGTAAGAATTGTATGTCCCTTTGTAGTGGCAGAGGAATTCACAAGTTTGTCCAGGGCAGCTGAATTCTTGTTTGTCCAGTAAGTATTTTTATTATGATCTGATGGCTGTCAGTGCAGGACTCTCTGTGCTTTTCTGCTATTTCTATTATGATCTAATGGCTGTCAGTGCAGGACTCTGTGCTATTCTGCTATTTCTATTAAGATCTGAGGGCTGTCAGTGCAGGACTCTGTGCTTTTCTTCTATTTCTATTATGATCTGAGGGCTGTCANGATCTGAGGGCTGTCAGTGCAGGACTCTGTGCTTTTCTTCTATTTCTATTATGATCTGAGGGCTGTCATTGCAGGACTCTGTGCTTTTCTGCTATTTCTATTATGATTTGATGGCTGTCAGTGCAGGACTCTGTGCTATTCTACTATTTCTATTATGACCTGAGGGCTGTCAGTGCAGGACTCTCTGTGCTTTTCTGCTATTTCTATTATGATCTGAGGGCTGTCAGTGCAGGACTCTNCTCTGTGCTTTTCTGCTATTTCTATTATGATCTGAGGGCTGTCAGTGCAGGACTCTCTGTGCTTCTCTGCACACAGTCCAAGTTCCACAGCTTTGCTTACATTTTGACATGAGTACAAAAACGTAGCTTTTACTGACCCTTCACTTCTAATTGCAGATGGCTGCATGGGGAAGCACAACAGAGAGTCAGAGGAGGATCACCCCCTGCTGAGTAAGAGGCAGCGTTTTTAAATATCAGCAAAAAATTACTTGAAGAACCTGGCATATTCAAAACTAAAGGTTTTTTTGGATTCTGGTCCTCAGGATATTTGGGATATTTACGGAGTGTTGGAATCATGCTCAGGAATCGTTTACAATGCATTGTGAAATGGATTTTGCAGAAATCTCAAAGCAGGCAAACCTCTGGGACAAAAGGTTGCACATTGAGTGTTTGCACAAGGCATATGTTTATATTAAGTCATAAAACAAACATGAACGTGTCACTTTCTGCATTTAAACATTTTTATTCGACCAGACTGAGGACCCGTTTGTCACACCAATTAATCTGACTCCTCCTGTGTAACATTTCAGTAAACTGATTTTAAATAAACGTAAAGGATGAAATATATAATAAAAATGTGTGTTACAACAATTATCTGCAAAAAACAGCCTACTCGAGAACTGGATTGATGGCAAGGAAAGGAAAAAAAAAACATTAAATCACAGAAGTAAAGCTTACTTATTGCATTTCAAATTTTGATGCGACTTTTTGATGTTCATAGAACAGCCGTTAGTTTTGACTTGATCATAAAAAAGGCTGAATTGAATGTGGGGAATTGTGCAAAACGGTTAACGAAGCATGTAATGTAATGAGTGGAACTGCGTTTCATATAAACATGAGAATATCTCACAGTATAGCAAATATGCCTACTAGTGTGGGTCAATTGTCTAAAGCAATTAGTGAAAATACATCAATTTTGCATTTTTTTCTTATATAATACTGTATATTTTTCATTACAAATTAGCATAATTTGAATCAAGCTGAATCTCGTATACATGAACTTCAGAATTTATAAAATGGATGGATGGACAGTATCTGGTATTTCCTCCTTTTACTTTAATGACAGCGTGTACCGTATGGTCTCAGACTGTTGAGCCCCACTGTACATGCTCATTAAAAGTATTAACTAATTCTTTCCAGTGTTCAGCACGATGATATTTTTAGTGCTGGTCATGGTTTACACTTTCGATCAGATCCAAAGCGTTTCCCTACTTTTAGCCTTAAGACTCGCTAATAGCTAATATCGCCAATGACACCTTCCACTACCCTAAAAGAAAACTGGTGCTGTTAACACGATTAATTTAGCAACAAAGCTGTAAAATAGAGGTCTTTACCTTAAAGTCCCGTCGATATCAATCGACAAACGATAGGTTTGCCGGGAACACAACAATTACAATTCCCAAGCTGAAGCAAACGAAAAAAATGCCAACCGGAAGCACATGGTCGAAAATAAAAACCGAAGTACTTGATTGGTTAGTTAATTACTTCCGGCAGGATTTTAGCCAATAACGTGGACCCGAAACGTTTTGAATGGGGAGGCAATCTGGAACTTCGCAGTTGCATGTCCAAAAAAAGGGAATTCCATTTAGAATGTTTACATCCTCTTTAGTAATAAATATGTCTTAGATGGATGAAAAAAGGTCTGGGAAAAACACTTTTGTTTGAATATCAGTAGTAAAATGCTGTCGCTAGACTACAAACATAATACGAGTAACAGATGAACATAGCATTAAGTTTATTCACCATTTATTCGCCTGCATCTGCCATACGTCCAAGTAAGTGCCAGTTGAAAACTCACACCTAAATCAAGAATGTATATCTGTACATTTTCTTATAATTTAAGTGGTGCAGAACAGGGAAATGCTATTTTAAGCCACATCTTATAGTTATATGTAATTTTTTTTAAATGAAGTCAATATTTATACTTAAAACTGATTATTTGATCAGTAAGAAGAAATACAACAAACTGATTTTAACCTGCTAGTAGATGCAAAATGTCAGCATTACTTCACCAGAGTAATTTGAAGTACACCAACTTTTTCAGCTTCACACCCTGAACGAGTCATGATAGCTCTACCAACATCCTTGGAAGGATTACCTGTCATTCATAATTGAAATTAGGACATATGATTTGACGAGGAAAACTCATTTTTGGAGTTTGTGATGGATCTGCTTCATTACCAGCGATGATATATTCTTGAGACCAAGGAATACAGTTGCCAATGAAATATTTATAGCTAGCAAATTAAACCACACATTAGATCCATGTAATTGAGTTAAACCCCACGTTGGATCTAATCATTTTCAGAAGAGTCTTATGAGGCCTATTTAAATATGGAATGCTAAGAACAGTTGGTCCTGGAGGTTTGGAAAATCCAAACGTACCTGTTGTCCACATCACCTTTAAATTCCTTCAGTTTCCTGCCAAAAGGTAATCAAATCTCAAAGTGGTATATTTCTTCTTAGATCAAACATGTAAATGTCAGTCAGAAATTATTCTAACACATTCCTTACAGCAGGAGTGGGGAACCTGTTCCATGGAGAGCCAATGCGGGTGTGGGTTTTTGGGATAGCCTCTCAATCAGCCAATAACAGTGGGTCTCCAGGACTGGAGTTGAGAACCGCTGTTTTATTATTGGCTGATTGAAAGGCCATTCCAAAAACCCGCACCGGCCCTCCATGGAACAGGTTCCCCAGCCCTGCTTTACAGGAATGGGAAACTTGTTAAATAACAATGCTGCCTTGAAATATCTCTGACCTATGTTTAAATAGGTTTCATGACAATAAAACTTAAAATAACAGAATTACAATTCACACCTGTGTTCCAAGTCAGAAAGTATGGCAAAAACAGGTTAAAATAAATAGGAAAAGTAAAAAAAAAGTACTAATATAAGTATTAATATTACAATTGCACTTTTCATAATTATAATTTGATTGCATTCTGCCAAAGTAAAATATATATATGTTTGAATTCATGTTTACCACTGAACTGGTTATTTTAATCTCCTTGCTGCTGTTTTTGGATTGGGGGGCGGGCATGGATTTCAACAGATTAACTCCCAATTATTTTTCAAAGACAAACTGCTAAATGTGGTCACAATTTTTCACTGCTTCTGCACGACTGATGGATGTGTAAAACAAAAGATTTAAATGAATTTAAATGAAGGACTACTCTTTTGTTGGGATAATATTAGTAACTAATGAAAGTATGTTCAGGATTTAAATCTGACAGTGTTACCCATATCAACACAGCAATAAACTCAGAGAAAAGAAAATTGTGAATGCATAATAAAAAAATGATTGATGAATGATACCATGTTTCATACAATAAAACCACAGTGCAAACTCCGCAAAGATACATACTAGCAATCTGCTGAATGATTCATTCCTTGCACTTCTTACTCACACTTTGCATTTCATTGTGGAATATTAAACAGTCAGTTACTTTAAACAGTTCATATCTGAAACATACATTTTTACTTAAGGACTTCAATGCCATCATTCAATGAGCCACTTATGAAGGTAAATAAAGCTTCAACTGAGGTTGTTATAACCTTTGGTTTGCCCTCCGAAAGGAATCACCTTCCATGTAATAGTAACGCTCCTGCTACACTTGTGATAAATGTTCCTCATGACAGTGAGATTGATGGAAAACTGTGGCTTCCTGCAGGCTATTTAAGGAACATATAAATGTTTCAAAGACTTTAAATAGAATTTTGATATATACTATTATTGGTAAATTCCAAACAAAAAGAATGCTTCTATGAAGCAGGTTTCTTCAAGTCTCGTATCTGTTTGATGAGGTAGGTCTTCTCGTCATTGAACTGCTCATCATCTGCACGGTCTTTCTGGAAGTTGCTGAGGAAGTTGATTAACTTGGTCTGGTTCTTAAGGAGAATGTCCACGATTGGCTGTGTTTTATTTGGGTTGGCCACAAACACCTGGAGGAGATAAGTAGATAAGACCAAGGAAAAAAAAATTACCAAAAACTTGCCTTAGGAACACGGATCAAAACTGATTTTGACTTTTTTTTGAGTAAACTTAGAAACCATATTGAGAATAATAGCATGTCAAGATTATGCTGTACCTTGAAGACATGGAAGGCCTCAAACTGGATGTTGGGGCTCTTGTCCCTCAGCAGATTCATCATGAGTTTCAGGTTTTCAGGCTTGCTAATGTAGCGTGTCATCACTGAGAAGTTATGTCTGTCCAGCAGCAGCTCTCCCAGGAGCTATAGCACACAGCCAGAACTTAGGGGCGCACAGTGTACCCAACTCACACAGTAAGAATATAATTTACTCTGTTCTCTACTTCAGGCTTTTATATTTATATTTATTACAGATACGTATCTTATTAGTAAACAAAAAAAATAGTATTATTAATACCTTCAATGACTGTCTCTTTGTGACATAGTTCTCCGAATGCAGCAGTTTCTCATAGTCCCCAAAAATCTGTCGTAATATAAGTACGCTTATTAATACAGCTTATTTTATTCAGTCTGAATTTTGTTTTTCCAGGTCACGCTACCGCTGTGGAAGCACCTTTCCGCTGCAGGAAAGGAACAGCTGTAGCTTACTCATATTTTTGCTTTTTTCTTATATTTAAAAGCTTGTACATATTTTTTCACACCCAAAGTAAAAGTCGGGTACTACAAGCCACTACAAGAACATAAGTGAATGCTGGGTTATTATTTTGAAATCGCATCTCAATTACTTCACACATTCGCTTCCGAAAATCTGACATTTTATCATAATGTATCTCATTTTGTCATGGTAAAATAAGGATTCTACTATATGTGCATACAAGCCCTCCCATGGCAGGTTGTTTTACCCAGCTGTGGTTATGTGGACAGCAGCTTGCAATAATCTTTCAAACATTTCAACCAGCCTCAGATGAGATAAATTTGCTCATCCATGCCACTACTAAAAATAATTTCATGTTTACACTTCTCCTCAGGCAGAGGTACCAAAATGCAGATAATTTTTACTCATTTTTCATGAAGTAACCCTCATACATACCGTTTCATAGTTTTGCTCTAAAAATTCTGCTACTAGGACCTTGTGCCTTGTTAGTAAATCCTGTAAAACAAAATTAAAGTTTTCTGATCAAAAATTAACCAAGACCCATGAAAAAAGGGTGATTTGTCAATACAGGTCATTCACCAATTAGGACTGCTGACCTTGAAGGTGGCGAAGGCATCAGATGCGATGTCGAAGATTGACATTTCCACATAATTGAAGAAATCCCGGAAGTGTTGTGAGTACAGGATGATGCGGGCGAGGGGCTCGTGCCTGATACACTCCCGTAGCATGATGCCACAATTCAGGGCCACCTGAGGTGTCTCATATCTGCAGGGTAAGACCCACAATCTTGAACCTCAACTCTTCTGACGATAATATGTTTGACTGCATTCCAAAGCACTCATGCAACATTTGCATGGGAGTATTGAAAAAGAATAAGACTAGAATTTGTACCCCTTGAGAAGGATGAAGAGCACCTCTTGGTGGGAACAGAAATACTCCACAGTTGGGCTGCGGGTTCCAATCTGCCTCCGAAGGATGTTGTTAAAGATCTGACACACGTCCTTTTTTCCCTGCAGATTTTGGAAACAATCCAGAGCAAGGGTCTGTTTATAGTTTTGACTGTTTTACATTTGTTATCTAAATCCATTATTGGGTAGAGGTACCAGGTGGAGATATCAAAGCGATCCTGACCAGTGGCTCCAAAAGCCAAAAGCCTCACCTCAAAGTCAATGACTTGCAGATTTTCAATGAGCGACACCAGGAGGCCGCTGTTGTAGAGTTCTTGAGCAAGCTGGGCCACAGACTCAGTGTGTGGCTCCTTGTCATTGGTTCCATACAGGATTTCCTTCATTGCGACAAGACATTTGGATACTTCCTCTGATGCCTGAAGCAAACATATTCAGGACATGTATAAAAGCAGATTTGGGTAATTCAGGTCCAGAGAGTAAAAGCCCAGATTTCGTTTTGACCAACCAGTTGAGTACTCTGTGACTGTGACTCTTTATGGTCAACTGGTTGGTTGAAACAAAATCTTGGTCTGGACTTTTACTCTCTGGACCTGAATTCTGTATAGAGGATCATTTTCACATAGGCAGCTTTGCAAATCCTTTTAAAAAGAAAACATTTGAATGGGAGTAAATGAAATGAGTACAGTAGAAGCTACTAAAATGACAAAAGGCCTGATTTCAAATTAACCTGAAATGAGCACCTGCATCACAAGTAGCAGACTGATATATATTGTCAATTTTCTTTCTATGATTACTGTAATATTTTGAACACTGTATCGGAATGTGCAGTATGCCACCCTTTTACAAAGGTGGGGAAACTCTCAGAAGGTTAACATCTCAGCTTATAATACTTATATAGTAATAAAGGCAACACTGTCACTATTGTCACTATATATTGTAATAATAAAGCCACTTAATAGGGATGTCCTGGATCACTAGCTGGCTAGTAAAATGTCTTCTGATGTTAATTTTCTATTACGTAAATGCATAATTAATACGTAAATGCGTAATTAATACGTAAATGCGTAATTAATGTGTCCTCCATGCCTGACACAGGTTTATCACCATCATACTGTAAAAAAAGACCTTGAGATCATTATGACTGTGAACAGATTCAAAGGGCAGAGGAATCTGAAGACAGAATGGGAGAATTCACTTTGGTCTGTCCTTATATAAGCATGTAGGTGAATCAAACGACATCCTGCTTTGTGCTTAAACAAGCACAACACAAACTTACTTTATGCAGCTATTAATTAATTACACATGAGTAAGGGGTCCCTCAAAATACCCAAGCCCCCCCACGTTTCTCACGCACCTTCTCAGTCTTCTTGTCCTGCTTGACAAGGATGGCCATATTCTCTTTTAGCGTTTTTGCGATCTCAGTGGGATTCTTGTGGGATTTACCGAATAGCGGCATAGCTACAGCGTCTCCGTGTCTCACTTCAGAGCCTGCGATGGCACAGAGATGACACTTTGTTATGGCATATCCAAATTATCATGTACAAGATAAACTATTATAGAACTGGCCACAGTCACCACAGAAAGAATCCTATAAACAGATAGCACATTTTTAGTGTCCAACAGTCAGTGGGTTTGGCATTTTTGTAAAATTTTAGAAGGATCTTCAGTTCACCTCTGATAAAACGACCATGGGAAAAATGCCAAATTAATGCAATGGCACACATCCAACCATAATCACATTATCAATCCGAACACCACGAGGTCATATTATAGATTCAGCTAGACTCACAATGGCTAGAGACAGCACAGCAGGTTTCAGAATTTACTCAAGTTACTGAGACATTAAAGATGTTTACAGCTGTGCCCATGTCCCATAGATAGAGGTGTGATCTATCTTCTTTAAGACAGAACATTGATGGTCAGTTTTCTATAGCTTCAAAACAAACTGCACTTTCAGTGATTCTGCTCAATCCAAGCATAATATCAAAAACCAAGAATTACTTCATACCCGTAGAGCACACCTCAAATTAGTAGATAATATTCATCCATCCTTTTTCTTATTATTCAGGGTCATGGGGGGGTCCGGAGCCTATCCTGGAGGCTGTGGGTGAAAGACAGGGAAGAACCCAGGATGGGGGGCCAACCCATCGCAGGGTACAGTCACACACCTTTCACTCACACATGCACACCTACGGGCAATTTGGTAACTCCAATCAATCTCAGCATGTTTTTGGACTGTGGGGGGGGGGAAACTGGAGCACCCCATGACAACACAGGGAAAACATGCAAACTCCACACACATGGAGCCATGGCGGAGACTCAAACCCTAGTCTCAGAGGTGTGAGGCAACAGTGCTAACTACTGTGCCAGTGTGCTGCCCCCTAGTGGGTAATATGATTATGCTTATTCATGAAAAAATGTTTTGATTCAATGGCAACTGACAAAACAAGGCAAATACTTTGTGACAGGTAATCACTGGTACTGAGCAGCTGGGCACTGCATTCGCTCCCCGAGTCCTGAGGGGCACGCGTGAGGGCTCACCAAGAGTGCGTCACCACAGTCACTGTAAACACTGGCGATCTTTCCACTGCGGTGCTGTCCAAAGGATTCATTAAGAACCCCGCCAAAGAAAGCCAGTCCACCCCATCCATGCCATTCCCATGAGGCCCAAGATTAAGCTGCTATAGCACAGCTTTAATAAAGCACACGTGACACCAATGAATGTAGTATGACCACTCAATGAGTATGACAACTGAAAAGAGATTAAAGTCAGCAACAGACCAGCAACAGAATATCCACATGGACAGAAAGTGTCGCTAATACAGTAACTCCCCTGTTGAAATGCTAGGTGCTCTTGCTGGGACATAATGGCCATGGGATTTTTACTGGGCTCGTGGCTCTATCCCCACACCTTCAGCTAACTGCTGTGCCCACAAATGAAAAACGTCACTTTGGGTTGACTTTGCTGAGACGAAGGCTGCTGGCAGAGAGAGATAAATACCTTGGCATCCACATTGTCACATCTTCTGAGTTTAGTAGTTCCTTAGTGCTGACAGTGTTGGAATATTCTATGTTTGACAGAGCTTGAAATCTTCCATTGTATTGTAGGGTAATGATATATTTAACACAAGGATTAGGTTACATGCTAAATCTAGTTCTTCAGGTTTAACGCCAATAGGAAATGCTTTTGCAGTTGACTTTAAGTTTAAGTATGATGTCAACAACTTGATATGTAGCACTCAAACAGACCTGAGAAGGAAAATGATATAATCTATAATTCAATTTAGAAACAAAAACTTAATTTACATCAATGAACCTTTTCACAACAACCCAGGGTGGAAATTGTCTGTAGACATCAAATAAGTCTTTAGTCAGTATACCAGACAAACCTGTCGATATAGTATTTTACCATCCAACAGTAAACAAATCACAAGCTACTTCTCAAACTGAATAAAATGACCATCATACCTTGCATTCGTATAGATTTACAAAGTATAGCCATTCAAACATGTATTAGTTAAGCAACAGCCGAGAACTGCAGTAATATAACTACAGCACTGTAATTCAGATTTTACACGTAGCTGAAAACAGAGGGAAAAGATTATCATTTTACGGGGCGCTGACTAGGGCGGACAGGCGAAATGAAGTTCAGGTTTTATTCAAGGTCAGATAGAGCTTCGCCCTCGGCTCGCCGGCTACATCCCTGCATGACGATGCCACTGACGCTACGATCGAAAAGCGACTGTATTTGCAGTCATATGGCCCGACTTCAGCCTCCCGCTTTATTTACAGAATGAACTGCAGAACAAGCACACACCCTAGAATTTCTTATGTCAACACAATGCATCTGGTGCCCGTGTATTACAGTATCTGTATGCGAAATGACTTGCAGTTATTTTGGTTTCCTAACTGTAATTCAGATTTGGCACCGTAGCCATAAAGCACGGCTCTTATAACACATGAAACAGCCCACGTCCTGTATAAGCAAATAATGCAATCGGGAGCCCTGCTTCTAACACTGAAGCGTTCTGATGCGCTTCCTCCGACACTGAAGCGTGACATGCGCAAAGCGCACCGAAATGACTACAGTACAAACCAAAGACAACACAGAAACGACCCAGGAATGCTCGCTAATTATTATTATTATTATTGGTATTATTATTATTATGTTCTTTCGAGTTTTAAAGTGTCAAAAGCATCATCGTGTTATAAAACGATCAACCGGCAGCTTGGTCTGATCAACTTCGGTCTCTCGAATGATGGATACTTACAGCGCAAGGTTATATTCTGTATCTTTGTCGGATATCTCGGTGTCTGGCTTGTCTCTCTCGTCTTTCTTTTTCCTAGTCACGCCAGCGATGTGTGTGTACACTGGGATGGACGTCAGAGGAATGTGCGTATGACAAACGAGCGATGCGGACCCTTTAAGAGGCCAGTGCAGAATTTCGCTGAAGCTGATCAGCGGTACGGGATAGTAAATCGCGCTCCCGTCTCACGTTTGAGTACCGTCATATTTTGGGAGTTATTTGCAACGCTTGAAATAATACAAAAATAACGACAATAACATAATTTTAAGAGTGGATCATGTGACCACGCCAAACAAAGAGAAAAAAATTGAAACACTTGTTGAGCAACGCCCGATGTTAACCCAATATAAATGTTCCTGTGTATAATAAATCTGTATTAACTAATATATCTTTATATTTCGCCATGGATATGAACGCACCACGCACCAAGTCAATTAGGATGAAACGTTGGATAAAAAGGTGAGGTGTTTATAATGTGCACTTTTGTCTCATATGAAGGATGTGATGAACATTTCCCATGTACGTAACAATATTGGCATTTTATACTCTCACTTCACAATTCCATATCCAGAAAGATCTTACAATTGATATTTTCTGCCAATATATGTAAATATAAGGTAGTATAATTTGTCTGAGAAATAATTTAAGTTAAAAAATTTAAAACGTCAAATAAGGTTAAATCTTAAATTTTATTTCTCAAAGTATAGTTTAAGGAGCTCTCCTAGCAATACTACAATTAAATCTTTTTCCATTTTCAGCTTTCTCGGTAGTATATCAAACTCCTTCAAAAAACTGGATTGGTGACGTTTAAGGGCTTTGTTGATGTATCTGCAGTTTTAATCTTCATAGGTCACCTGAAAATACTCCAGTCAACAAGAGTGTATGTCTGAGCTGAAATGCCAGCCGTGCCAGTAATCGCATGTAAAGAACAGGACGTGCTATAACAGCACTGTATGAGAGTCTCAGACAGTCAATGTCTAAGACTGTCTGTCTGGGTAGTAAATGTGTATTTGCTAAGAAAAAAAACCAATGTAATATGCTATTTAACCGTAACAATAATAAAATTAACAAGACTTTCTTCTGTTCTCTAAAAAGTTACAGGTATCTTGTTGGATGGCTAGATGAACACCGCTTCAGGTCCCAAACCTCTCCTCAGGGCCACCTCAGCCATTCCATGTATTTGTAAAATTTCACCACCAGCTCAATAAATTAATTAGTTAAGTAATTCAATGAGGTATTGATTAGCCAAAGATGGTGCTCTAGTGGTTGAGTCAAAAAATACATTGGTATATTGCAGTGGTCATCAACCCTGCTCTTGGAGATCTCCCACCTTGCAGAGCTTAGTTAGGTACAGCCCGAGTTCAGCAGCATCTCAGTATTAGAGCCAACTGTTGGCTTCAACGTAGCTGGCTGCAGTACTTACTGTATCAAATGTGTTAAAGTAGGGCTGCACCTAAGCCTTGCAGGGTGGTGGATCTGGAGCAGGGTTGGTGACCACTGGTGCACTGGAAAGTTGCTCCAAATACTCCAGTGATTTTAGGAGAGGTTTTTTTAAACGGCTAATCCACACTTTGACAGACATATTTTATAGTTTACACCAATATGAAGACTATTTAAACACTTCTTTCTTTGACTAACTATGACTTTCACACAGTACTGTATAACTTGAGATTTCCATGACGAAACAGCCCGTCCTTGTGTTTTAAGCACAGGAGCTCAGTATGATCGCTGAGTGAGACAGTGAGATAGTGGAAGACACTTTGATATATATGATCCTGTACAGATGAAAAGGAATCATGAAGCACAACACATCTTATCGCAAACCAAATAAAAAAAAATCAGCATCATCATATATCTGTGAAAGTTTAAGATATAATCTTTATATACAATATATATACATTTTATATTAAACAAAACATTATATAATATCTGTACAACTATGCAATGCTTTACAAGATTTCTGTACATGGGTTTATAATGTATTCATACAACTGTAACTAACTTCTGTCAGCATTTCAGAACTGATTAAAATACTTAAATTTTTCCATTTAAATTTATACAGTATTTATATGTACATAGAGGATAAATCATGTGATCAAGAGAGCTATCAGACTAGTACTATCACAGTAAAACAATGCAGAGCCCCAGTGTCCTATAATGTTTCAATAAATACTCAAGCCTCACTGTCCTGGTGCTGCGGGACACATCAGAGTTTGAAGATCAAATTGATGATTGAAGATCAGTTGTGGCTGAACATATTTGTATTAAGAGAGGGTCATTCTTTCTTTGTGAACATTTCTAGGGGATTCGCCAGGATCTTGGATATAGACCAACAGCATCAGTAGAAACAAACATGCAGGACAAAAGAAGAGCCCACTGAGGCACACAGTCCAATAATCCAGTGCAGTTCAGTCTACAGTCCAGTAATCCAGTGCAGGGAGCTGTTCTTGGGCTTGAGGTTTAGAGAAAAATAATTAGGACTATTTCTGTCTGCTCCTAGGTGCTTCAGTTCCATCAACTCTCCTCACATACAAGATGACTTGCCATTGGAAGATTTCCAACATCCGTGTTGACATCCATGTCACTTCCATGTCATTAATGTTCAAGGAGCTGGGCACATGACTTTGCAGGGAGTGCAGTGGAGTAGAATAGTTTTGGCCACCAGGTGGCACTTAACATCTGGGTGGATGGGGACCTCAGGCTTTGATGTCAGAGAAGCTGGTGTAGGTTTCACTACAGCTGGAGGATGTGCTGAGGTCACCTGAGCCACTGCCCTCTAAACCACAGAAACAACAGCAACATCAGAATAGATTGAAGGCTGACCACAACACTGACATATTTCACAGTTATCTAATGCGTCATTTGAGCTGAAGCAATTATATAGTTAAACTAAAGTAATTGTATGTTATTGTCAACCTTGTATTTGGCAATTATGGAAGATGTATGAATTAATGGTTTATTCATATGTTTTATTAATGGTGTATTTTACCTGAACTGCTGAGAGACTGTATAGACTTGGACTGTTGGAGTAGAGGTGCCAGATTAGATGCTGGAATCCAACCCTCTTTGTTGGTTGTCAGGTTACATACAAACCTAAAGCAGGCAAAGATCAAAAACATCATTCAAGTGGACCTGAATTAACTTTTGTAATATGACTGAATTATAATCCCAAAAAATTGGGTCCAACTACAGGGACCTGGGACAATGTTATCATAACTTATACCACGGAGCTGTTGAATTCTCGAATATGATTGGTCAGGAGGGATTTGACTGAATTTCTATAACTGCACAGTAGTGTTGGCCAGGTGAATCGCACTAGTAAATAAATGTGCAATTATAATCTTTAATTCTAACTAATGTTCCTTAATGGAAACTATAAAAGCAAAGAAATGACTACAAATCACTTAGACAAAAACAGTGCTTTATACTGAGGACCAGAACCTGTAGTCAGTGATTAAAAGCCAAAATGATTTACTGGTGCCATGCACTTGTAGTCCTGTCATACTTTACAGTCATTTCCAACCTGCCTAAATGAGATGGTACGAAAGTGTGGTTTTAATAATTGGGTAACACTAAATAAGTCGGATTTTACCCATAATGCACTTGAATGTCAGGAGGTACATAAAGCTAAATTAATAAAACAATGGCTGAATATATATATTTTAGGGCTGTCAAAATTAACGGGTTAACGCGGATTAATCCATCATCGTGATTAATCTGATTAAAATTTAACTCAATTAACCCATCTGCAGCGCAGAATGATTCAAAATCCCTGAAATGTCGGGCAGTTTTGGTGCGTTCCATTTGCCCTCAGAACTCGTATTCCAGAGTCGGATTCCGGAGTTTTGAAGCCAGAAGTAACGACATGCGCTCCCGTTTCTCGGAGATCCGAGAAATATCTCGGAGCAGCACAGAGGATCCCGAGTTCAGAATCCAAGATAGCTGCGCCTTTTATCAACAGAAGGGAAAGTTGTAGTTTTACTGTTTAAGCACTACTTCTCATTTGTGGCTCATTAAATCGGTCGCACACACTATGCCATCCAACTTATCTGTGGACGTGTTGCTACGGAGTTTTATATGTAAAGCACCGCACGTAATGTGTTATCAACTGATATTGCTAACAATGGCAATTAACCGGGCTAGAATTGGACTTCATGATTAGTTGGATTATTTGTCGGATTTACGGTAGTTCGTGCTAATTGTAAGCGAACGAAGATAAAGACCATTTAAACTGAGGTACCTTAAATCCTACAAGTTGACCGGCTAAGCAAAAAATCTTGCTTTTTGATATGGGTCCATGGTATTGCACTTCTGTGGCAGATGGAATACATCCAACTCATGTTCAAGATGTTCAATAAACATGTTAAGTGCATATATATTCCCTTTTTTCTTGAGTCGGTTTGCTCATGCAAAATTAAATGTGATTAATATAGATTAAAAATTAATGATATTTAATCGTGATTAATCGAAATTAATCCACAGCAACCCTGTGATTAATCTGATTAAAATTTTTAATCGTTTGACAGCACTAATATATTTACATTTCTTTGCCTCCACTGCCTGTTTTTAAAAATGTATAATACATTTACCTGCTTATACCATAGTTTTTACACGTTTGCATGGCCTTTGCTAAGCAGCAGGCAATTTCTACCTAATGACTAACCTCTGGGCTTAGCAATGAGCTATTTTCTGTGTAATACCACTGGCTTGGGTCATGTATAACCAAAATATTTAATAGTAGTAGGCTTGGGCAATTTTTCATGCTATCCAGACATTTCACAGAGCTATACGGTATTTTGACTGTATTGTAAAAAGCAATGCTATTTTGGTATTTTAAAATCCCTCAACGCCCCTTGAGATTGATACATTTCGCTGAAAGAAAATACCACAGTATGGTAACAACGTGCCGTCCAAGCCTAAACAAGAGTATTACTAATAAATAAGTATTCAGTTCCTAAATGTGAAAATTATGTCTTCAGGTACACACATGTAAGTCAAATGTGTGGTAACCTTAGTATTGGCGGGTTAATGCACTGCAAGTCGTGCATCATACGTTTTTAAATACACGTGTCAGGTGCTTCTTCATCTCTGCAGCCTTGTATCTAAAAGCGTATAATGTACGGCCTGTCATGCATCATGGGTGTGGTTAGGTTATTGTTAACCTTAACCCTGAGTATTTTAGCCCTGATGCCAATTTGCCTTCAAAGAACAGAAAAGAAAAAGACAAGCCCCAGGTAAACTTGACCTCTGGTCTTTTCAATAGCTAGAAACGCCCCCGTCATGCATTAACCCTTACGAACTGAACCTGGCCATACTGTGCAGTAACAAGCATGGAGATATTGACAGTAATATATCGGCATACAGCTCACCACTGTCCATTGTCTCCTTCCTTCACCAGCTGCACTATGTTCCCGCTCTTCACTGACACATCCTGGGGCTCTCCACTGTCATAGTCTGCCTCCACTGTATATTTCCCAGGAGACTGGGGACAGACCACATTATCATGAAGTACGCAGTCACAGAGGATTCAGTATGTTAATATACATACAACAAATTTTTTCTGCTTTAGCTTCTCTAATAGGTACAGACGTCTAGCTCGATATAAGAAGCCACACATATAGTTTGTCTGCAATGTGCACAGAAAAACAGCCTAAATGGTCTACAGAAAAACTAACTGAATATGCAGTGAAGATCGACGGGTGACCAGACATTCCAGCTCACCAGTTTCTTGCCCCCCTCATCCTCGGGGTCGGAGTTCAGGGGGTCCTCCGTGCTGGAGGAGTCATCATTGTCCTCTGAAGCATCTGTTGAAGCCTTGGGCCAGTCTAGCAGAAGGGGAGCAGACAAGAGATGTGTGGTAGTTAAGGCCCTATGCAGCTGTACTGATTGAGGAAAGGTCACTTTGCTGGACCACTAGATTGGGAAGTATGTGCATCAACCTGAAACCTCTCTATTACCTTCCTATTACCTCCCTATTACCTCCCCATTACCTCTCTATTACTTCCCTATCACCTCTGTATTACTCCCTATTACCTCCCCATTACCTCTCTATTACTTCCCTATCACCTCTGTATTACTCCCTATTACCTCCCCATTACTTCCCTATCACCTCTGTATTACTCCCTATTACCTCCCCATTACTTCCCTATTACCTCTGTATTAC